CCTAATGTAAGAATTTGTTACGCTATATCAATCAATGAAAACCAAGCACCTGACTCCGATTACAGCATGGAGTTGGAATGCGACGATTAAAAATGTGTCATCGTTATGGATAATTGTCAAAAAAGCCTCAAAGGCATACCAGAGGCTTATCAAATGTGGATGTAAGCAGAAATGTTCGACAAGATGTAAATGCAGACAGTTTGGTTTGGAATGTACGGAATCGTGCATGTGCAATGGGCAGTGCTTCGAAGAGTTTGACACTTAAACTTTCAATCTCGTCAGGATGTCGATTTTGTGCGACAATTCGAAATTATTAACTGAAAGCTGACATAAGAAAACACAATAGGCATTTTTTAGCAAGTACCTGCAGGCATTTTCAACCGACCTATCTTGGAAAGTATATTGGAGCATAGGTTTGCGTAATTTCGATACTTGCACATTTGAGGAATGTTGGCACAGATGCATTTCAGAAACCTTTAGCGGACTGTGCACTAATACCCCATGCTAAAAAGCTTTTTTAGTACAATTTCTGATTTTAGTAATTAGATATCAATATTATTTTGTTTACATGCCTAATTATGCACTTCTACAACTTTTTATGCTTTTGATATGGAAGAATGATAAACAATTGGTAGAATTTGTTTCAGAGGACTGGGTCCGAGTGCCTACGGCTAAAAATAGCACTTTGGGGTAAATTACAGTTGGGGTCCCGATCCCATTGTTTTCAGCATGTCAAAGTCTATAGGTATGCCACTTTTCATGCTTTCTTCATTAAATTTACGATTGTTGTGGCTTTTTCCCTCACTAAGAGTCGATTTATTGATTGATGGGAAAGCCATGACGCAGAATGTGCTCTGACGATTCGCAACCCTCCTCCGACGTGACCAAAACAGCCCTCTGGCTTTCCTTTCATAACTTTTCGCAGAAAAATGGTACAAATACCATTTAAAGTTTAATCGATAGAACATAGCTGGCTTTACTGTTTTTTATAGTTTGCAAGAGATTAAGGTTGATTGTAAGAAATTGCGGTGGCGCTTTGCTGCTCTCGAGACATGTCCTGGGGGCTTAAGGCTGGGGTCAAACCCGTTTCTATAGCTTTATATTTTTATGATTTTATGAGTTGGAACCCTCAGTATTGTTCGAATGTATGCAAGAAAAGGAAGTACGTAAAACCGAAGGGACTCTCACGAAATTGCAAAAGATCACTCTTGAACGTTGGAACTCTCTATGCGAATTGAATTCTACCAAAGACAAAGACAAGTGAACGTTGGAACCCTCTATGCGAAATTGAATTCTACCAAAGACAAAGACAAGTGAACGAACAGACAAGTAACACTTATCGTAGTATATTTTTGTCATAAATATATATATATATATATTCATTTTTTCCTTATTCGATATTTATAACAGTCCTCTTAGAACAATTTTTCGTACCTAATCTAACTCTGCTACCCTAGGTGGAAATACCAAAAGAATTTCCCTACCTAGGCCTGATATTGAACCTAAGCAGGGACAATATTCTAAATGATTCAAGTATATTTTCAGCCCCCCGAATGTTGGCAAAATCGCAATTTTCCCAAAACCGCTCTTCAGTTTTCCTTTAATAACTTTTTCAAATCTCGGTTTTTTTGCCCAAACAGACGTTTATTCATCTTTTCGATACCTGCTACACTGTTTTTCATAGTCTGCGGTTTTTGCATATTGTTGTGTTTTTATTATGCGTTGAAAGTAGGGGAATTTTTCGAAAGTGCGAACTCCGCCTCTAACCATGATGTAGACTTGAGTTTATAAGTCGTGCAAGGCACCACCCCCAGAGTCGGTTTTAATGCTGAATGATTGAATATTCATTAAAACATTGGTTTATTGCTGTTTTTCAAAAAATTCTACGTTTTATTTGACTTGCAGGGACTAGGAAAATTAGATACTTTCCCTGTCACCCTGTTTAAAACCACTCGGCACATCAACTGCCGTCAAATTTTTTTGAAATTGTTTCTGAACCTTTTCTTATCCAGTCTTGTAAATGATGCCATTACCTAAAGTTTTATTGCTTTGGTTGTCCAAAATGGTCGCGAAACGATTCCAAAACAATCGCTTGAAAACAGTAAAAGTCTCACTAACCGGCTCAAAAGAGACGATGTTTTGATTGAGGGGAGGCCCTTGTGGTCTGACGATTCGCAACACTTCCTCTCACGATTCGAGCAAAACAGCCCCCCGGTTTTCCTTTAATAACTTTTCGCAGAAAAATTGTAAAAATACCAATTAAATCTTAATCAATTAAGAATGGTCTGCTACACTGTTTTTTATAGTTTGCATGAGGTTAAGAGTGTTTCAAGAACATTTTCAACCCCCGAAAGTTGCAAAAATCTCGAATTTCCCAAAACAGGCCTCCGGTTTTCCTTTCATAACTTTTCGCAGAAAAATTGTAAAAATGCCACTTAAAGTTGAAATGCCATTGTAAATGTAAAAATACCATTTAAGGTTGAATCAATTAAGAATGGTCTGCTACACTTTTTTTATAGTTCGCAAGAGGTTGAAAGTGTTTCAAGAACATGTTTAGCCCCCCGACTGTGTTGGCAAAATCTCGATTTTTCGAAACCGCTTTTCAGTTTTCCTTTAATAACTTTTTCAAATCTCAGGTTTTTGCCCAAACAGATGTTTATTCATTTTTTCGATACCTGCTACACTGTTTTTTCATAGTCTGCAGTCGGTTTTTGCAATTTGTCGTGTTTTTATATTGCGTGGAAATTTGGGGAATTTTTCCGAAGTGCAACACCGCGTCAAGCCATAATGAAGATTATAATTTGGTTCGAAAGTCGTGCCAAGCGCCCCCCCCCCCCCTGCTTCGTCTTTAATTTCCTATTGTTTTTAATTCATCTGGAAAATTGGTTCAATTCTTCAAAATCCGGCTCAGGGGGTTACGGCTTCGTAGAGGTTTGAGGCGGTGTTACACTTTGGAAAAATTCCCCTACTTTCAACGCAAAATAAAAACACGACAAAGTGCAAAAACCGACTGCAGACTATGAAAAAACAGTGTAGCAGGTATCGACAAAATGAATAAACGTCTGTTTGGGCAAAAACCTGAGATTTGAAAAAGTTATTAAAGGAAAACTGCAGAGCGGTTTCGGGAAAATCGAGATTTTGCCAACACAGTCGGGGGGCCAAACATGTTCTTGAAACACTTTCAACCTCTTGCGAACTATAAAAAAAGTGTAGCAGACCATTCTTAATTGATTCAACTTTAAATGGTATTTTTACCATTTTTCTGCGAAAAGTTATGAAAGGAAAACCGGAGGCCTGTTTTGGGAAATTCGAGATTTTTGCAACTTTCGGGGGTTGAAAATGTTCTTGAAACACTCTTAACCTCATGCAAACTATAAAAAACAGTGTAGCAGACCATTCTCAATTTATTAAAATTTAATTGGTATTTTTACCATTTTTCTGCTAAAGGTTATTAAAGGAAAACCGGAGGGCTGTTTTGCGCGAATCGTCAGAGCGCATTGGACAACCTATCTTTGTCATGGCCCCCCCTCTCAATCAATAAAACGACTCTTTTGAGCCGGGTAGCGAGATTTTTACTGTTTTCAAGCGACCGTTTTGGAATCGTTGGCCGTTCTATTTGGACAACCAAAGCAATAAAACTTTAGGTAATGGCATCACTTACAAGTCTGGATAGGTACAAAATTCAGAAAAAAATCTGAAAAAATTTGACGGCAGTTGATGTGCCGAGTGGTTTTGAACATGGTGACAGGAAAAGTATCTCATTTTCCTAGATCTCGCAAGTCAAACAAAACGTAGAATTTTTTTGAAAAACAGAATCAAACAAATATTTTGATGAATACTGAACAACTGGAGATGAAGACTGACTCAGGGGGTAGCTCCTGGGACGACTTATAAACTCAAGTCTACATCGTGGTTTGAGGCGGATTTTGCACTTTCGAAAAATTCCCCTACTTTGGACGCAAAATAAAAACACAATTAAGTGCAAAAACCGACTGCAGACTATGAAAAAACAGTGTAGCAGGTATCGAGAAATAGAATTAACGGCTGTTTGGGCCAAAAGCTCGAGATTTAAAAAAGTTATTAAAGGAAAACTGAAGAGCGGCTTTGGGAAAATTTCGCTTTTGCCAACATTCGGGGGGCTGAAAATGTTCTTGAACCGATTTTACTTCTTGCAAACTGTAAAAAAACAGTTTAGCAAATTGTGTTCTATCGATTAAACTTTAAATGGTATTTTTTGCGAAAAGTTATTAAAGGAAAACCGGAGGGCTGTTTTCACAAATTGAACATTTTTGTCTAAGTTTCGGAGACTTTCTTTTTAACCGGAAATTTTATTTAATTATGAAAATATGAAAAAACAGTGGAACTATGGTATTTGTGATGTTTAAAAATTAAATCAGTCCTACAGATTTAGTTAGTCAAAAGTTGTAAAAGGAAAACTGGAGGGTAGTTTGGGTGCGAATCGTCAGAGAGAATCGTCAGAATCGTCCCCCCGGAGCTTGTTGCTAGTTGAACGGGATGTAAGAAATTTGTAGTTTTACCCTTCAAATTGCTGAACAGTTGAAGGAAAGGTATGTACTATGTAGTTTTGAGTCGATTTCGCTGACTTGCTTCTTCCTTAGCGCCTGAAATCAGTTCAAATCAGGTTGTGATGTTTCACTCCCAGTGTCTATTTTAGGCCGTGTACAACACTTAGGCCGTGTACAACAATTTTCAATGTTTTGCCTTACCTTTTAAAGCATAGCGCGTCTTATTAGAAACAAAATACATGAATCGACAGATAATCCAGCCAGGTTTCCCACTATGAAATATCTTTTTATTATCTCTTTTTTATTTTTGTGTATGAAGCAATCAATGTCCGAATATACTCGAATGTCTAAATGAATGCTAAATAGCGGACCAGGAACGAAGGGGGCATCCCATGTAGGGACATCAAGATCGATAAGTTCTTCGGGCGCCCACGACTCTTAATCCGCCCCTGGTTGTAAAATATGATAAGTTACCTGAACAATATTCCAGCTTTTGGGAAATCAGGTACTGCCTTGATAAGGCCTTTCAAATTTTCCAAAGCTCCGTTGCCAGAGGAAGCCATTATTCTTTCCTTGTTCTTCGAAGAAATCGTTTTGTTGGCACCAGTGCTTCCACTATTCTTGCGCTACGCAAGCATCCCATAATGCATTTTTAGACTGTACCGGATTCATTTCGTATCGGATCGCTTTTCATATCGGTTATCGGATAGGCCTTCTGTTCACACGATGACGCTTGAATCCGATACGCTCTGTATCGTTTTTGCGGAGTCAGATCATTCAGCTGTGAATGTGGAATGGAATCATATCGGATCGCTTTTGGGCTCGTGTGAACGAATGAATCCGATACGGTTTCTCTCCGGAACCTCTGTTTCGAAAAATCAGCTTCGTTTTCGGGGTTTTTTAAACAGTTTGGCACTCTTTTCAAGATACAAAATGACAGTGGATCGCAGTTAAACAATAAATATGCGATGCGATCATGATGAGCTTCACAAGATTAATGCAAGAAAGAATTGGATTGATTGAAACTGATTTCGAAATACTTCTTCTTCGAAACAAAACAGCGTATCAGTTCCGTCACGTCAAAGAATGCATTCAATCAGAAAGAGAGCAAAACGACGAGCAACATTTCACGTTGCTATGCAACTTCTTCAAGACAATGGATTTTTTGGAGCAGTGTTGAAGCGTAGCGTCATCGTGTGAACAGGAGTGAATCCGATACGAAATGGATCCGGTATCGTGTCAACAGGGCCTTACTGTCATTGTTTGGACCGTCGCCACGCTCGCAAAGGCCCATTGTTAGCAATGAGTCTTTAAAGCGAGGCTGACATTTTTCAAAATTCCTTAAAATTCCTTAAACTGGGATTCTATTTTCTTTGAATATTTCCTTGTTTGTTTTATCCCAAAGATTGGTCATGCCATGACTAACAGTTAATATGCATCCACAAATTTTGAACGATTTATGAATAATTCATTCATTTTATGCTTTAAATGGCCATTTGAATGCTAAGGTGTTGAAACAGTCAAATAATCATCATAAATTATAAAACTTGAAAAGAGGATCCTCTAGCCACGTATTCTGAAATTTCTGCTAGTATCTTTTTCTCATTCCTGTTGTTAAAGCTGCACTTTCACTGTCAAAAAAATTTCGCTTCATCATGGCGATAAATCAACTCGAAATGAAGTTTTATTTAAGTCCAACTCTTTTAGCCCAAAGAAACGATCTGACTTATTCAAAAATACGGAAAAAGTTATTCAAAAACACGTGTTTCCTTTTGAATCGGTGATGGGTTATCATCACCTTAAAGCGCTAACGGCTCTCAGGGGCGGATCCAGGATTTTTGGTGACTATAGCTCAAATCTTTTGAGATCGGAACCACGCCCTCCTTGCTTGCGGGACACGCCCACTATATGGGCAAATGATAAACCATGTGTGTTTATAGTTGCTTCGTATTCATAAATATTCCTTCGAACATCCTTTTTCTATTTCCAGGGACGCCATAGAAGGGGGTGTGGGGGTATAACCGCCACTGTTGCCCTTTGGCAGAAGGGGCAAGGGTTGTTTTTAATAAAGTTCCTTTGAAACTGGCCAATTGTAATAATCAGAGAGATTCGTATGAAATTCTGAACTTCTCAAACATGTAAAATAATTCCTTGTGCCGAAAGTTAGCCAATGTTGAAAATACCTACAGATAATAAAATTGCAGTTACGTATGAATTTGTAGAAGCTGAGAATTATCTTTCAAAAGCCTTTTTACTCAAGCCTGCCCCCCCCCCTCTTGCCGCTTGGTCGTTCCGCCGTCCCTGTCTATTCCCTAGTACACTACTGGCCAAAATTGTAGGTCCTTGCCTTTGAAGCTACATTACAGGGGACCCAGGATGTGAAAACGAGCAATAGTCTACTGTTGCTTTACAGGGGACAGAGAGCGGAGAAATACCGTGGATACTCATATTCTATTGGTTAAAAGGCCATTTTCAAACCTGACTATAGCTTCACTATAGCTCGCGCCAAAAATTATAGTACGGGTTTCATTGCCTTCGATGCCTTTTCCAGAGCAAATCCCCAGACCGACTATAGCTCGGAATATCCACTGTAGCTCAATTCTGGTTGGTTACTGTCAACAAAGAACGAAACTTCTGATTCGTCTAAGTTTTAATATTAGTCCATTCTGCGCTCAGTGTTTTATATCTTATCTGGAGAGGCATTGTGATGACACATTGCCAGCAGTGCATGTTTGTTAATCGCATTTGATAACCTATACCGCTGCTTTCAAATGTGAATTCCGAAAATCAAACACTGAGATTTTGACTATAGCTCGAGTTACAGTTGCTATAGTCTGGATCCGCTCCTGGCTCTATAATTGCAACCTTCAGATATAAGAAAATCAACAACCGACAACCTCTTGGGTCGTCATTAAGACAATTCAATTAGGACGCTATATCTTCGCTGTTACATTACACGTCTTAAAAAGCAAACATTGATAATATTTTGAACTTTTGGGAAAAAAGTTGATGCTCTAAAAATTTTTTTGAATCTTGCAATTCCTTAAAAAAATCCTTGTGAAGTCAAAAACTCCTTGATCTAAGGAAAATTCCTTAAAAGTGGAAACACTGGTTGGCACGGGGGAAAATTGCATTGCACATGCGCTAAAAATCACAGGGTGCTAAGGTCTTTTTAAGCTGGCGATAAGGAAATGAAAAAAAAATTTAGGCTGGCCGTAACTAGGTACTCTTTAACTTGAACCAAGACATTGAAATGTTGCAAAGTTTCTGCACTTTTTATCTGTTATCATTTTTTTGTTACAAAAAGAAACCTTTGCGCTAAAAGCCTTACGCAAATCAACTGACATCAAATGAGCAAAGAACAGCAAAATCAGGTGACTTACTTTGACACAGTTCAAATGGGCCAATAAAACACATTAATTTTTTACAAACACGCTCTTTACACACATATTTTTTCAATAAAGATAAATACAATGTGTTTACTCTCAGTTGGGAAATATATTTGCACGGAGATGCAACGGATCCATTATAAAATATGCACGACATATGGTAACATTTTAGATAATCTTAAACTTTCTTGTGAAGCAGACATATCATTGAGTGCAGGGCCATTAAGCCACACTATTTATTTACCGCTGCCAGTCTTGCTGAAATCGATCACTATGAGGGTATATTTACAAAACCTTATCATTTTTCTTGCATTATTTACCGATAGCTATTGAAAGTTCCTGTTTGTGAACATTATATACAATTTTAGGTAATGACGCAAACCAGTTTTGATGCAAGTCGGTTCGGGCGGTATGTTCGGTCGTTGATATCGCGAGAGCTCATGTTGTTTTTGACTGTGACAACTTTTTTGTGCTTCTTGCTTTTCAATCTTTTTGCGTATGTTGAAAGAAGCAGTTTTGTGCACCCAATGAAATTGGCAATTTAACGATACCTTTTTTCCTACATTGTGATAAAACATTATTTCTGGGCGCTGTTCATTCACCAATTCTTTTGTTAATATCTTGAAGAAAAACCTTTAAAAAGTTTGCTCACCTCAAGAAAAACATTTTTTAGAAAGAAACCACTTATACCAGTTGAAGGCTGAAGAAATATTGTGCTTACACTATTTCGCTACGCCAGGTGGCCAAGCCTTATTTTCAAATCATTTTTCTGCCAAAAATCGATCGTCAGATTCGCTTCAAATATAATAAATACAAAACTGTGTGATATGAAAACTTTTTGCACTTCTAGAAAAACATTTTTAGAAAGAAACCACTTATACCAGTCGAAAGCCAAAGAAAAACTGTGCTTACCCTATTTCGCCACCCCATGTGGCCAAGCCTTATTTTCAAGATACAGCTCATTTAAGAAATACCTTGTTTATTGCACCTTGTTTATTGCATCATAGGCCAGAGATGTTGTCTTTTCAGCTTTTCAACAAGGGCTGGTGCACCTAGAGAGCCCACTTCCTGAAATAAGGTTTTTTCTAGATAATAAACCACTATCAGGCACTAAGTAATATTTCGTTTCTTGGGAACTGTTTTGGGGGCAAATTTGTTAATAATTTGAGATTGTGATATAACTACATTACTATTTAAAAGTGTAATAGGGTAATTTGCCAAACGAATGTATACACCTTATCGTTATTATCGAGACTAAATGGTCCTTCCATCAATGAGAAAAGAAACAAATAGACACAATGATCATGTTGAAACGTCTTTCTTCAGATCAAACGATCTTTCCGCGATAAAAGGTTCTATAAATATAATGTTTCTCTACGGTTGTCCCGTAACGTCGATTCGTTCTCTTAATGTCAGGCACAGTCTTTCTCAAGCACTGTCCCCTCAAATATGTCAAATAATCCACAATAATCGTCACGCGCGATGTCTTAAATAGCTATACGTATCCTATAAATCCATAATTTATGCCGACAAGATCTTTTACAAGCATCTTGCCACATAAGTGAAACGTCGAGAACCTAAATATACAAAATTTCAAAACTTAACCCTATCTCTCTTAACCGAATTCCATTTCCAACTTCAACTCCAACTCCAACTCCAACAACTAACTCTAAAACTAACTTTAAATGTAACACGCCCAAAATATAACTAAACAAGAACTTATTGTGATGCTACATAGCTACGTAAATTTACATAATAATAGTGAATACATAATATATTAGTCCCAAGATTAATTACATAAACTGAATAATGATACTAAATATCCCAAAAGAAATAGTTAATGAATCTTAAGGTGCAATTAGATAACAAAAGGAATTATAAACAATCGAATATACGAATGGTGATAAAATTACTAAGGTTACAGGATGCAAAACAAACGAAATCCAAACTAGCACTATTACAAAAGGGTAGGGATTATTATCAATTTTTCCCCGTGCTCGTTTTTGGATTGGCTTGTGTGGTTGCTGTTGCACCATAAAATTGAGGTTCAAGTTTGTGTGGTTGCTGTTGCATTGCATTGGTCGTATTTGTTCTGCAGAGAGAAGAGAAGGGAACGGAAAGGGACTGACAATTTTCAAAACATGGCTAAGGAAGCTGTCCAAGGATATTCAACCAACTGTAATTCATAAATATATTTTGATTTTTTACGCTAAGCTTTTCGCTACAAAGGAGACAGTGCAAACTTTTTGTCAGACATATATGGAGTTTCTTTACAGCAGATTCTTGATCATTTTTCTGTTCAATTTAAAATTTCCAAGATTCATTTGATCCTTGCTGTATTTGTGATGCATCATTACTGCATATGATCGCTTATTCTCGTTTCCCAAAAGTGCCCTTGATATTTGACCAGATATTTGATCAGTGCTGAGGAGAGGGGGGGTCAGTGGGGTCACTGACCCGGGGGCCCTAGGCTTTAGGGGCCCATAAATAATAATTTAGGGGCTCAATTGAAAAAATTTCTAAGTAATAATCCAGCCTCCCCATCAACATTAACATAACATAATATTAGAGACAATAATGACAAAGGTCCATGAAGTCGTTGCCTGTCTCGGTGTTAAACATTATTTTGTTAAGAATTTCTCATCTCTGTTGGCCAGGGCTAAAGAAGTTCAAAAGCTTCTGAATGTTACAAAAAATGTGATTGCAGGGCAACATACAGGGCAATATGTATGTCATACAGATTTGCACTATGACATTCGCATCTATTTGCAACAGTGTGTCGGTTGTGGTCCGATTTAGTTAACAAATTGAACGTTTTTCATTTTCTAAACTTTAAGAATTTCTAACAAAATTACATTCTCATGCACTATGGTGGTAAGATATCAGTTATGCTGAAATTATTTGTATTTAAGAAGTGGGAGGTTGAATGAAGCAGTGCGATATGGAAGGAAACAGAATAAACAGTTGCCTAAAGTATTAAATGTACCTGTGATAAATCATATCTCTTTCATTAAATATCTCTAAATCTTGTGCCTAACCCACTTGTTTTTTATTCTCAGTTATTTAAACGTATCATCTTGTACCTGTTATTTTCTATTTATTTCTAATTCACAGGAGGGGTGATAAATTATCTCTATCTACACCGTTAGACATTCGATCGACAGAAATTAAACAGACGGATCTTACTTGCTCGTGTAGACTATGCACACCATATATTTCTAATATTGGTTACTTGTAAACATCAGGATTTTTCTTAGTTATATTTGTTATTGTTACAATTTGGTGTTAATTAGCTGTTTATTAGCTAGTATTTTGTAAACCAACATTAAATAAAGTGAATAGAAAAAACCCTATTTTCCGACAAAAATCTAACAAGCTTCTATATTTTTCTCATTAATTTCAACATAACATAATGACATCAGAACTGAAAAAAAGATCTTTTGATATATTGAATATTCTTATGTTTATTAAGATTCAAATTTTTTCCATCAAAACATCGCATTTAGATAAACATAGACAACCATGTTAAATTTTTGAAAAGAGCAGAGGTTTTCAGACAAAATAGCAGTTTAGCTCTACAGTGGTGTTTTTGCTCCCTCTGCCCCCCTCTATCTACACCATTGCCACCGGCGCAGTTTAGCTACCATGGCAATTTTAGCAACCAAAATATCCACCCTAGCAGTTTAAGCAACCATAATTTCAAAGATTTCTGGGGAGCATTCCCCATACCTCCTAGAAGCGTCTGCCTTAGGCATGCCTTATAATTAAAATTTTTTCCTGTCCCCAGGGCCCATAAATTCTTTTCGCGACCCTGTATTTGATCATTTAATAAACCTTTTTCCTCAGCTCAGACTGCAAGCAGTTATCACCATTAAAAGCCCCCATAACCTACTCCAGAAAATTATGTAATACTATTGCATGTTTAATGCAAAAAGTCAAAGGGAGAAAGAGGCTCATGCATGAATCTGCAAAAATTTGGAGGCTCATTCAGATTATTTAAAATATTAGGCTTCCAATTCAAAAGCTGTAAATTTATAACATAATAACATTCTTATCCCTCTGAAGACACCAAATTACCCAGTGAGTCAGATTTTTATGGCCCTACATCTCTTCACTGCTGCCAATGTGTGGCAATAATTAAAACCAGCTAGTCTTTGCAGACTTATTTTGAAGATTTGTTGAGAAGTGAAACATTTTCTTAATCAATTTTTGAATATTTTCGGCCTACAAAAAATCAGGTACAAGGTCAGCTTTTACACTGGCAGTAGTCTGTAGCAAATGCTAACCTCTATAATGGTCTAATAAAGGAAAAACCTAATGGGGGCCCCTTTGGGTTAACACATTTCTCTTTTTAATAAGAAAGCCAATTTTTTGCTGATCCATAAACTTGCTCAGATCAGCTCAGCACTCATAAAATCTTTTACTGAAGAGATACCAATATACATTACTTTGAACTGCTTAACAACACTAAATAAAGATAACACTCCACATAGCAAGTGATAATGAGTACCCCAGGTTCATTACATAAGAAATGACTAAAATAAAATTTACTACATTTTGACTTGAACACGTTATACAGAAAGAAACTCATTTAAATTAGGTTCATGTATTAGGTCCTACTGTGCCTATTTTGTTGTCACCTGACTGAAAGAGTTGTGAGTTAAACTGTGTCCTTGTTGGTGTGAAACCAGGGATGTTAGAACAAGCAGGGTACTAGGGGTTCATTTTCTCAGTACATTTTAGATTTCCGTTTTGAATATAGGGATCCTGATCCTTTGAATGATTTTTTAACTCACACCTAGCTATAAACCATAATGCCTCGAATAAGCTTATTTAATTTTTGAAGCTCCAGGGTGGGTGCTTATTTGAAGGGAGGCGCTTAATCAAGGGGGGGGGGCGCTTATTTCAAAAGTAGATTGGGGTGCAATGTGTTGTTCATTATTCTTTCTTTGTTGAGTTGCCTTTCCAATTATGTTTTCGTTGAACATTTGATGTATGGCCGTTTCTGAAGGTTGAAGGATTATTCAAGGGAGGGACTTATTCAATAACTTCACCTCTAGGATGGGTGCTTATTTGAGGGGAGCTCCTATTTAAGGGGGGTGGCGCTTGTTTAAGGCATTATGGTAAATTGTCTTGTTTCTATCAAAAGCCACTGAAATCATGGATCTGTTTTATTGGAATTGAAACTCCAAAGATAAAAAAATTCCTTATTGCAGAACAAAGAGCTGAAATATAATGAACTCTTCCTCAGATGCCAGAATCATTGAACATGATGATCATGAAATTAGTTCAGACATTGACAACCTAGAGCTGGCACGGAGACATGGATATGAAGTTGAAAATTCAATACTCACTGTTACAATGAATGATGAGCAAAACTTGGAGATTATTTCAGATCAAAGTCAGGTAGCTACCTTTGAATCAATACAAATTGATTTTGTGAATATAATTATAGAGCAAGATTTTATAGAAAGGAGTTCATTATAGAAGGACAATTTCAAGGTATCTGCATTCGATTGAATGCCCTCTTTTTGTTGTCTCTCTACTTTGTGATTATACTGCTTCATTAATTCCTCATAATGGTAAGATAAACCATAGATAAATTTTGATTGAATAATGCTATGATAAATTATAAATGAGAATGACAGGCAGGTTTTTCCAATATCTGTTAAACTTCTTATGCAATCAATATAAAAAAAATTGTAATTTTCACCAACAATTTTCATTTGAAAAATCTGCCAGCAAATAAATAGACATAAATATTTGTAAAGGTTTTAGTTAGAATTGTGCTTGCTATTCAACATAATTTTTGCCTATTTTATTGTCTGTTTATGGATTTTTCTTTTTCTGTAGAAGTTTGTCCAGCTATAAAAGGTTTTGCAAGACAGTAAATATATGCTGGGTTCAGCATCAGCCATCAGAAACCATATTTTCAAGACTAACATAAACATATTTTCAAGATTTAAAGGGAGGGGCAGTGCGGGTGAATGGCTCGGCCTTGGGTGTTGGCTTGAAAGCACGACATGATAGCTCAGCGGTAGAGCACTTGACGTGCAAAGTCAAGGGTCGTGAGTTCAAGCCTCACTCGGGTCGGTTATTTTCCCGCACTCTCTACTAACTAACATAAACATTTTAACAGTTGATGGAAGATCTAATTTTTATATTCATATGCAATTGATTGTTCAAATTTCAACAGAAGCATGAGTTATTGTCCTTTAGTTTCACATCAACAACATTTTTTAACTTTGTAAGGATTCTAAAGATAAAGGAAAGCTATATTATATAAATTTAGAGGGATGGTGAATTGGAGTGAAACATACTTTTTAAGAAAGTTTGTTTGAATTTTCACAGCGGAGCATGAAGAGTTGTGTTTGTAGCAGAATACCTATTCCAGTTCTTCTATTTGTGGTATCTCTCATCCTGCTTGTATCTGCAATAGTTATCATTCATGCCAGTGCAAAGAAAAATATGAAAGAATCTGGTAAATTCCTAAATTACTTTATGGGATTTAAGAATACTAAGTTTTCTGAAGATTTCATTTTTGAAGTCCTAGAAAGTTTTCAATGAAGCTCTAACTTTAATTTAATTTAATTTAAGATAAGAACTATTATTTTAGATATGTTATTGAGCTCCTTGATCTCATTTTCACCAGGGGCTTTAATTTCAAATTCAGACATGCTTTTTATTTAGTAAGAAAGTAGCACATGATTGGTGGGTTAGTCATTAATAAGACTGAAAACAAATATCTAGTGCTACTTATGTTAGATAATAAGAATTATTTTTTTACCATTTTTCATAAAGTAGTAAATGCAGTATGGGCATAGCATTCCTTTATGATTGCATTCAGCGTGAAACTCTGAAAGTTGAACTTACAGCAGTCCTGTTCTATAGGAAATTAGCCCATATGAATTGCTAATTTGTGCTAGGCTTAAACTACTCATCTTGTACATTGTAAGAGGTACTATATTTTTTTGGTTATGTTTCTCTTCCTGTAAATTTATTGAATTATCTTTTATGCTTGAATTTATGGTCAGTAATGCTATCTAATTATTGTAACTATCCTTATTTAGCCAAATTTCTTTGAATTTTTGCTGTAGCTCGTATCAAGGCTAAGATAAATGCGAATTGTGCTCTTTTACAGTTAAGCATTTTTTGATCATATTTCAATCAGCTTGTGGATTTGCATTCATTGGTATGTGATGTTATTTTCTTATAACTTTATATTAACTGATTTTACTGTATCCAATTTGCTCTCCAATATATGTTTGTTTATCCACAACTATGTCATCATCAATGCCACTAGGTTGTTATGTTCTTGATGCAATAGTTCAATGAAATGGCCCTCGATCATCCGTCATTCGTAGCCTCAGAGTTACCCTGATCAAACCATCACATGATGCTTGTAAACCAAAAGTTCCTTGTTTACCCTCATCCTTTGCTTTAATTTACTTCTGTATCAATCAAAGTTAGCCGTAGCTTGCTTAAAGCAGTACTTATAGCAGGCCTGGCCGTTTGTATTTTTATAGGTGAGCTGTGAATCGCTCCCCTCATTTGCCGAGGCGAGCTAAATCAGTAACACAAAGAATGTACTTCAAAGACAATCGACAGATGACTTAATAGGCCCCTTTAGTATCTGTCGGTTGCCTTAATGTAATAGCCTCAGTCAGGAGTGTGATGTTTAACTTCTTTCAATTTTTATTTGCTTTAACCGTGACTTAGGCACCCCCTTTACTTGAACATAGATGGAAAACTCTACGCTAAAATACCCAGTTTTGGATCGAAATAGGCCAATCAGAAAACGCACGCACATGACTGTTGAGATTGTCCAATCAGTGCCGCTTTCGTATTGAAAATGTTACCAACGGAGTCCTAAGGTGAAAACGAACTCACTTATGTCTACACAGAAGCGGTCGGTCATGTTTATATAGTAGATAGATTCACAAACAGCTAGATGGAACGATGATCATGCTTTGCCAAAATGCGAAACATGTCGCCGTTATAGTTTTTCATCCAATCTGGGTTTTTCAGTAAATGCTGCTGGATAGTGGAATTCCATGTTTTGGTTGTCGTTTTTGATCTGCAAGACAGAGTACCTTGTTCTCTTTGAGGGATAGTTTTGTTTCTATTGCTGGAAGGGACCTGCTGCCTTATTATATCCCCAATCTACAATTCCTACCAATTTCTTCGACTTTCCTTCCAAAAATATTCCTGTTTTCTTAAGATTGAAAGGTTCTAATCGCTACAAATGTACCTTGCGCTTAACTATCCTTTTCCGAATAGATCGAAGTTTATGCCTATCATAACAAAAACTGCCCAACAAGCAAAAAGTTAATTGCAAAAAATGCAATGACGGGAGAAATCGCTGTTACAAAAATAAACCAATTAACCCTTGTGCGTTTTCATAATTCTCTGAATAGGAAATTTTAGGGGAGCGATTCTCCTTTCATGTTCTGTTTAGGAGAGCAATTCATAGCTCGCCTCAGGTTGCGAGGAGAGCATGGAGGCGAGCGCGAGCTATGGCTCGCCTCAAACAGCCAGGCCTGCTTATAGACTAAAGAATTATAATCTACCTGCATAATGCTAAACATAATCTGATTGCTGTTGATTCTTTTTCAAAGAAATATTCATGCTTTATTTAAATAAGCCTGGCTACCTCATAACTTTTTCATGATCACATTTAAACACAAATTGAAGTCTTGCGTTCTGTTGGAAAAAGTCACAAAATCTCTGCTCAAGGCATGATCTTACAAGTCCTTCTGGTTTTCTCCTAACAACATTATCATTTCCTTCAGTTGTTTCCCTTTATCCCGGTAAATCATGTATCATTATATTCGGTAATGCTTTGGAAGATCATCCACATAAACTGTTTAAACAGATAGATTACAATAAACAAGCTTGATGCACTCTCTGTTTGAGGATTATTTTCCTTGTGCACACTACTTTCCCACTTTAAAAGATGCTTTTAGTCCAATTTGTCTTTCTTAAAGTTTATCTTTCATTGTCATAATCATACTTTGTAAGTTACTAGTTACTTTGTAGGCCTATATACTTTACTTAAAATGGTAATTTTAAGAACAAATTTGAGAATGTTTTTATTAGGTTTGATATCTGAATAGTCAAAAATTTGTGCTATATGCTACCGTTTGTCTGTTGTACAATTGCACAAAGTTTGATTTGTTAAAAACAAATCGTGTATCACCAACATTTTATCTGTTTTTTACAAGTTTACTTCTAGTTGAATTTCATTGAGTTCTTGATAATCATTTTAGTCACTGCCAATAGTTTGTAATGACACTTTTTTGCCTCCTACTTTGAGCAGATCCCTTTACTTAGCACTAAAGTCATTAAATCTCTCATTCTTCCCATCCACCCTAGTTTTTCTGATTCACCAATATTTTTCTCTTTCTGTTTTTCAATACGTAAATATTTAAATCTAGGTTGTGAAGCTTAAAGTGTATAGGAGTATAGTTTTTTTAAATATATGCTTCATTTATCAAGACTTTTCGAGGAATTTGGTAGTATTGTGACTGTATTGATTGAAATTGCAATATCTTCTCAACTGTCATGGAGATTTTATCCGTGATCTTATGCATGTAAATTTTTGATCAAGAAAGCATGCAAGTCACATTTTGTATTGTAGCTTATAAAATTGATTTTTTTGTAAATTATGTTTCAATTTGTCTGTTGAACCTGAAGAAGACAGTCATAGGGATTGATAAACAGAAAAAAGTTCTGTCAGTATGGATAATTTTTAAATCGTTTGTTTAGGTCAGCTTTCGTATCTAATTGCATTGAAAACATCATCATGGTATCCAAGCTTGCTGTTCTGTGAAAGGTAGGGTAAATTTAAGCTTTTAGTCAAGTCAAATTATTCCCTTGAAATTATTCTATTGAAATAATTCCCTTCAAATAATTCCCTTGAAGTTGCTTCCTTGAATTTATTCCCCTGAAATTATTCCCTTGAAATTATTATCTTGAAATAATTCCCTTCAAATAATTCCCTTGAAGTTGCTTCCTTGAATTTATTCCCCTGAAATTATTCTCTTTAAATTTTCCCCTTTAAATTATTCCTTTGAAATTAGTCTCTTGAAACTATTCCCTTGGAATCATTCCCTTGAAATTATTCTCTTGAAATAATTCCCATGAAATAATTTGCTTGAAGTTGCTTCCTTGAATTTATTCTCATGAAATTATTCTCTTGCAATTATTCCCCTGAAATTATTCTCTTGAAATTGTCCCCTTTAAATTATTCCTTTAAAATTAGTCTCTTGAAACTATTCCCTTGAAATCATTCCCTTGAAATTATTCTCTTGAAATAATTCCCATGAAATAATTTGCTTGAAGTTGCTTCCTTGAATTTATTCTCATGAAATTATTCTCTTGCAATTATTCCCCTGAAATTACTTTCTTGAAATTTTCCCCTTTAAATTATTCCTTTAAAATTAGTCTCTTGAAACTATTCCCTTGAAATCATTCCCTTGAAATTATTCTCTTGAAATAATTCCCTTGAAATAATTCCCTTGAAGTTGCTTCCTTGAATTTGTTCTCATAAATTATTCTTTTGCAATTATTCCCCTGAAATTATTCTCTTGAAATTTTCCCCTTTAAATTATTCCTTTGAAATTAGTCTCTTGAAACTATTCCCTTGAAATCATTCCCTTGAAATTATTATCTTGAAACTATTCCCTTGAAATCATTCCCTTGAAATTAGTCTCTTGAAATAATTCCCATGAAATAATTCCCTTGAAGTTGCTTCCTTGAATTTATTCTCATGAAATTATTCTCTTGCAATTATTCCCCTGAAATTATTCTCTTGAAATTTTCCCCTTTAAATTATTCCTTTAAAATTGGTCTCTTGAAACTATTCCCTTGAAATCATTCCCTTGAAATTATTCTCTTGAAATAATTCCCACGAAATAATTCCCTTGAAGTTGCTTCCTTGAATTTATTCTCATGAAATTATTCTCTTGCAATTATTCCCCTGAAATTATTCTCTTGAAATTTTCCCCTTCAAATTATTCCTTTGAAATTAGTCTCTTGAAACTATTCCCTTGAAATCATTCCCTTGAAATTATTCTCTTGAAATAATTCCCTTGAAATAATTCCCTTGAAGTTGCTTCCTTGAATTTATTCTCATGAAATTATTCTCTTGCAATTATTCCCCTGAAATTATTCTCTTGAAATTTTCCCCTTTAAATTATTCCTTTAAAATTAGTCTCTTGAAACTATTCCCTTGAAATCATTCCCTTGAAATTATTCTCTTGAAATAATTCCCACGAAATAATTCGCTTGAAGTTGCTTCCTTGAATTTATTCTCATGAAATTATTCTCTTGCAATTATTCCTCTGAAATTAGTCTCTTGAAATTTTCCCCTTTAAATTATTCCTTTAAAATTAGTCTCTTGAAACTATTCCCTTGAAATCATTCCCTTGAAATTATTCTCTTGCAATTATTCCTCTGAATTATACTCTTAAAATTTTTCCCTTTAGATTATCCTTTTAAAATTAGTCTCTTGAAACTATTCCCTTGAAATCATTCCCTTGAAATTATTATCTTGAAACTATTCCCTTGAAATCATTCCCTTGAAATTAGTCTCTTGAAATAATTCCCATGAAATAATTCCCTTGAAGTTGCTTCCTTGAATTTATTCTCATGAAATTATTCTCTTGCAATTATTCCCCTGAAATTATTCTCTTGAAATTTTCCCCTTTAAATTATTCCTTTAAAATTGGTCTCTTGAAACTATTCCCTTGAAATCATTCCCTTGAAATTATTCTCTTGAAATAATTCCCACGAAATAATTCCCTTGAAGTTGCTTCCTTGAATTTATTCTCATGAAATTATTCTCTTGCAATTATTCCCCTGAAATTATTCTCTTGAAATTTTCCCCTTCAAATTATTCCTTTGAAATTAGTCTCTTGAAACTATTCCCTTGAAATCATTCCCTTGAAATTATTCTCTTGAAATAATTCCCTTGAAATAATTCCCTTGAAGTTGCTTCCTTGAATTTATTCTCATGAAATTATTCTCTTGCAATTATTCCCCTGAAATTATTCTCTTGAAATTTTCCCCTTTAAATTATTCCTTTAAAATTAGTCTCTTGAAACTATTCCCTTGAAATCATTCCCTTGAAATTATTCTCTTGAAATAATTCCCACGAAATAATTCGCTTGAAGTTGCTTCCTTGAATTTATTCTCATGAAATTATTCTCTTGCAATTATTCCTCTGAAATTAGTCTCTTGAAATTTTCCCCTTTAAATTATTCCTTTAAAATTAGTCTCTTGAAACTATTCCCTTGAAATCATTCCCTTGAAATTATTCTCTTGCAATTATTCCTCTGAATTATACTCTTAAAATTTTTCCCTTTAGGTTATCCTTTTAAAATTAGTCTCTTGAAACTATTCCCTTGAAATCATTCCCTTTAAATTATTTTCTTGAAAATATTCTCTTTATTCACGCTGTAGATTTAATTTACAATTTATCGATAAACTGGCATGTAAAACAGGAATAGAAAAGTCTATAACCCCAAGTTAAGTTTTGAATTGTCCTGTCATATTGAAAGAGAGAAAAACGAAGATTTTTAGATGATAATATTATCTTTGAATTTCAAGGTTGAGACACAGAGAGAAAGAAGAGATTATTGGAATCTTAAAACAATTCCTGCTTCACGATATTTTCAAGGGAGCTGCTGTGCGTGCTTACTTTGAAAGAATAAACAAAGTGATTGATCGCGATAGAGAGGTTGGTGCTTACTCTTTCATTTGAAGAAATGTATTCATAATTTTTTTACAGAGAATTGCCTTTGATACATGAAAACATGCATAAATGTCAGTTTGTGTAAGGTTTTTAAAGTTAGTCCGGCTTGACATCATTCACTACGCTGCTGTGTATGTTGTATTCAACCCATAGCCTATTCAAAGATAGCTTAGATTGGCGTTTAATGCCTTATGATAAATTTCTTTATTTCTATTAGGTTAGAGGCACTGAGTTATTATATTTCTTCTTAAAACTTTTATATTGAAAAAAACGTGAAACTGAACGCCATTGTGACCTTTGACGACCTCTGGCGACCTTTGATGGTCTTCGTGATCTCTGATGACCTTTGGTGTCTTTTGGTGAACTTTGTAAATATAATACTCTTGACGTCACACATTAAAATATTGTTTTAAATCATGCTACCAGAGATGTTTCGAGTATTCCCTTATATCTACAAGAATTTTCATCAAAATTGTAACAGGAGGGTTTACAGAAGATATATAATTTTCAGTCACAACGAGATTCGTCGTCAACTTAAATTGTGCCAAGCATTGTTTCTGCTTTTACCTATGACTATAATTGAATTTTAGCCAGCCTAGACAAAGGATTCATTTTCAGATTTGGTTTCTCACAGAGAGAATTCTGTTTTTATCCGCCCTTTAATTGTCAATTTTTATTCTTCACTTCCGCACCACCGGGAAAGCGGGGCTGGCCATGCCCCCACTTTTGTGTGAAGCAAGTGGTTTTCAAGCTGCAGTAAAAGGGGTAAGAAGCCTTGGCCCCCTAATTTTTGAGCCTTGCTTCCCCCCCCCCCACTTCCAAATTCGTGGCGCGGGCCCTGTCCACAGTCACAAATTATTTGCAAATTATCATCCAGTAACGTTTATGTTGGAAAGAATATCGTTGAAAACTGAAGACTGATTTTTTGTAGCTAGAAGCTGAAAACTTTCTTGACTCCGAAGTTATTGAAAGTGTTGTATCAGAACATTTGGTTTATCTGTATGAGTCACCTGAAGGTATCAGTTTAAACTTTTTCTCCTTAGTTCTTTAACAATATTAAATAAGATTTCGAATGACTGTGTCCGTCTTGTAAAATCTTGTTAAATTATAGAGATCAAACAGAAAAAATTTATCAGATTTTCAAGTGGCTGTCGATTGACTGTATACAACACAAATGTGTGCGTTATTCAGTTCCCCTTTATTCAAACAGCTTCTTTATTTCTCTGAACACAAAGATATTATACCTATTTTGCATTCTCATTAAAAGACACCCAGAATTTTCTCTTCATCTTTAAAAATGCAAGAGAAAAAGAAATTCTCTAAACAATAGAAGGTTCAGATTTCAAGAGCATCTGTTTCAAATCAGTATTTTCCGGAATCTCCTACTGACGCAGTTGGGTTTTAAAAACACTATAGACTTGTTTTTTAATTTTTTGACGTCACTGCTTATATTTCCTTTAAATTTAATAGCGTTGTGATCTTTGATGGGCCTACAAACAGTAGTTTTATCTAATCCCAAGGAAGGAAGAAAATAAATGATTGATCTGAAAAGTATGGCGAATTCTATGAATATTCCAGTTTCCATGGAGGTGGGACGTCTTCCTAGAGTTACTCGGACTGTGAGTAACTGTGCTTCATTCATGCTACCTATTTCTTAAGCAGATTAGGTGAGTTTTATTATTGTTATTGCAGGGTCTTTGCTCAATGTGATTGGTGTTGACGAATCAGAGCTACGTTCCTATTCAAAACTCTTGCTTCAACAAATATTGTGCAAAATTCTTCCTAAAGTAAGTATCTGCTTTTTCAAACTCTTCTGTTCCGATTTCAAGGAATAGTTGCTGAATATCAAATCAAGATTTTTGAAACCTCTCCACCCTTGATGCTATTAGATGCAATGCAAAAAATATTTACTTCTTGTTGAATTTGCCAGGTGAAGAGAAATGAACCTCTTTCTTGTATTTTCCAGGCCCCTTGTACCTTATTTTTTTAATAATTATTTCATGAAAGAATATATAAACTATGAAACTGCAGATGTTACTTTACCGGATGTTTCTGATATTGCACCTGTGCATCAATGTTGCACACATGGTATTTTGCAACAGATTGAACAGTGAAAAAGCAAAAATTCTCAGAGCTTCAAATAAAAAGCAAGCAAGCAAAGAACTGAATTTCTAGCTCTTTCCATGCATGCAGGAAATGTTTAGTGATATGAGATTTGCTGACACAAAAAATTGTCTTTCTAGATGCTTGGCCCAGCCCTAAAATTTTTCATAAAAGAATTAAATTGTGTGTGAAGGTCATTTGGGCCCAAGATCATTTTTATTCAAATGCATAGTTTTTCTGATTTTCAAGTCTCGTGATTATAAGGGATGTACAATGAATGTTGAACTAAATGCAGTGTCAAGAAATTTTGACTAGACAGGATTGAAAAACAAAAGTTGAGCCAGTGTATAATTCTTTCAGTTTTTAATTCAGAGCTATGAAAATTGAAAAAGTTCTTAGTCGAAAAGTCCAAAGGTATAAGTGTTCAAATGTCCAAAGTCATTGATTGGTTGGATTCATCTTTTATGTCAGCCAGTCAAAAGTGATATTGCTTTTGCTTTTACAATATCCTTCTGATTGTCTTTCTCTTTGCATTCAGAGCTATCACCAGATATTCTCCAATAAAGAGTTGACCACTCCAACAAGGGGCTTCAGTTTCTATTTATCGAATCCTGCATTTTTGCGACTAAAATGATTAAACCAGTACAAGGGGAGGGGGGGGGGGACGGTTCAACATCACTGACTAGGACGCTTTTCATCGTGTCATCAAAGTTCTAATTATTTTTGTGATTTTAATATGATCTTGACAATAAGACAATAAATACGGAGAGAGACAATGAAAGAACACAGAAAAGCCAATCGTTGTTCTTTCCTTTATCAGTTGTACCGCGTTTTATGTCCACATTTCCTAATCATAACTTGCCAAACATTATTTGGCACACTTGTTTCTTCAGATTTTTAAAGAAACATCTTCAAGGCAGTTGCTGAGTTTCGATTCCATTCAAGGCAATGTAAGTCTCTACTATACCCGCCTTCTTTCTCTCTTAGTGAAGCTGTTTAAATGTTTATAAAAGCCAATGACTGGCCTTCAATCCTTTATTAAACAAAATATGTAGACTATTCTCACTGAGGATAGAAGTTTGTTTTATTATTCTAGATTTGTGCAAATCTTATGCGCGGAATATATTTAAAAACAACGAGATCCGTGACCCAGAAAAGGATAAAAAATGAACTCGATAAAAAGCTCTTGAATTGGACAATATGTAGCAGCATCTGCGCTGTAATGGAAAAACATCGTGGAGGAAGGCTTTTCCGATATTCGATGCTAGGGGATTATTCGATGCTAGGGGATTAAAGCGTAATTAGGAGGAGGGGGGGCTTTTTCAATATTCGATGCTAAGGGATTAGAGCGTAATTAGGGAAAGGGGGCTTTTCCGATATTCGATGCTAGGGGATTAGAGCGTAATTAGGGAAAGGGGCCTTTTCAATATTCGATGCTAAGGGATTAAAGCTTAATTAGGGGGGGGGGGCTTTTTCAATATTCGATGCTAAGGGAGTTCGATATTCGATTCAATATTCAAGAATTAGACTTGTTCGAGAAAGAGGGGTTCTATCGATTTATTACGATAATTTCACTGCAACTGGTTACTTTCTTTTTTCCCTTTTTGGAATATTTTTGGCTGTTTTTTTTATAATGGTACACATTAGAAATGTATCATCTGAATTCTAATAATTCATCATCAATTAAAACAGTTTGCCAACAATACACCAATTCAACTTATGGCCTTATTTTGAAAAAAAAATCGTCAAATTCTTTTGTACAAAAATTGTGACCTCAGATTCATGTTGAGAGCTAAGATTTAGTTACCCTGGGTCTGGTACCCAGGGTAAGATTTAGTCTACTTGGAAGTTTTCATTATGGTATTGCTCACGATATTTATTTTATGAGGACATAAAGATAACAATTTTATTTGAGAGATTTACCGTGATTGGCGACTAGGGGGGTAAAGTTTTTAAACTTAATTTCTCCGTAAAATCTAAAATACAAGCGAAACAATATGACAGTTGTATCCAGCCTAAAATTATGGCGATAAAACCAAATCTGAGCTTAGAAAAGTCGTACAATGAAGTTTCCGAATGAGAAATTTCCAAAACGAGCCGTAAGTCGAATTGGTGTATTAAATTCTGTATTAATGTGTTATGACATGATGTACGAAGTCGGACTCTTCGTCTTTTCCTCGTCTCCTCTTAATTTTCTCTTTGTCTCCTCTTCGTTTTTTCTTTGTCTCTTCTCCATATTCACTTTGTCCCTCTTCGTCTTCTCTTCGCCTTCATTTCGTCTCTTCTCCACTTCCTATTCGTCTTTTCTTCGTCTCCACTTCGTTTTCTCTTTTCCTCCTCATCGTTTTCTATGTGTCTCCTCTTCGTTTTCTCTCTGTCTTCTCTTAATTTTCTCTCTGTCTCCTCTTCGTTTTCTCTTTGTCCCTCTTCGTCTCGCCTTTGTCTCGTCTTCTCCACTTCTTCGTCTCCTCTTCGTCATAATTATTTATCATCATGACAATCAATCTTTAATGTCAAGGTAAATGCATATGCCATTATCACAGAAAAACTTCAGGCCATAACCACAAAATGGTGCTTGCTTCCAAATTCCTGGTCTTTATGATGAGCAAGTATGGGGAGTGAAGTAGTTATATTATGCTGCGCACATTCGAATCCCTTTAATCATCTGCATTTGTGGTGAATGCATTGTTCTGGTTTTACCACCTTGGTATAAATCTACTTACGTCCATCACAAATATGTTTCATTGTAAATCTAGCCCAGTACTTAGTACTCAAGGGTCATTACCGAACTGTTGTCAGTCGATATAGGGTTAAGCGCTTGCCTTTTCCTTAAAACTGATATATAATGATAAAAGGGTCGATATACTTTAATATCCAGACCATAAACAGATGCCTCTATGATAATCGACGATCAATTAAAAAACGCCGCAAAACTGATTCTCGCATTTTGTCTATTGTCTTCTAACATGACAAATCAAGTTTTATGAGTGAAGCATGAAATATTGAGCTGATTGAGAGTGGACTGAATCTAGCAGAATCTTAAGAGAAATGAAATGAGATTCTAAAAGGTTAGCGAAATTTGTGGGAAAAAGTATCTATTTTCTTAATCGGAAACCATATGTTAAACACCACCGCCTTATTAAAGAAATCTTTCAAGGGTCTGCCTGAGACTGCGATTCTTGAAGTAGAGTACAGTATTGCTATGGATTATTATTTTCTATCGATTAGAATAGTATTGAAGAGTAGGAGCACGTGCCGCGTGCAGCACACCTCTGTTTGGGACACGCTCGTGTGCCCTTTCCCACTCCAGGAATCTTCATTTTCACTCATAAACCGAGATAAAGATTATTTTGCAAAAGCGATCTATATTATAGTTAAATCGCCCGTTTGCAATTTGATCAACTCTCTATTGAGTTTAGAGATTTTTAAACTTAATTCACATGTACACTTACGGAGATATCAGTAAAGCCCAAACACTTATCGGACAGATGAGGCCAATTTCTCCCTACGCAAAAATCGGTCGACCATAAACTGTCCATAGATTAAATATATTTATATAGGGAGTTAAAGAGACAGCCAACAAATAGAAAATTTCTTGAAAAGAAATCTGTCTTGACTTTTTTCGAAAAGTTGAAAGCTGTATTTCCCGAATTAGCTTAGGTTAAAATTGTCTTATATAGAAGCAGATGATGGCTATTAATGCTATATGATATGGAATTGGTTTTTTAAAAGTTACGACACCCATTGAGAAGCTTTACTGCTTCTATAGTTGCAGACTTGAAGACATTTTCCTACGAAAATGTGTAAAATGTTCCAGAAATAGTACAGGTTCCATTATCGTCATCTTCATTGTGCTCTTGCTTAGATTTATGATAGAGCATTATTCTACATTGCACTGGAACTGGCCACAATTCTGAGAAATAAAATGCAATTTTTAGTAAATAATTCCGCATCTGAAGGAAAATACTTTTATTGTCACTTCTCCTGTACTTTTAGAAGCCAGGGATTTTGTTGAATATGTAAGTTTAAAACACTCTTGTCTGAATGACAAATGTATTCTCTAGGCCTAGAATAGTGATCAGCTCTAGTACTCTTGTGACTTATATATGAATTCTGCACGGGTATAAGCTTTGAATGAACATAGATGTTCTGCAAAATTGTCCCTAAGGCTAGGCTTCTATTCAGCTCTAATGCCTCGTTGTTTGTTTGAAAAAAACCAGACGATTTGATGTACGAAAGTCAGACTCTTTTGAACAAGCTGATTAAACTAAAGTTTGTCTAAATGCTTTTGTTAGCTTTGGGTTTCCAAGAAAGAATTAAACCGTGTGCTGGTAAAGGTCTGCAATATTTATTTTCTTACGCATGGCAAGACAAATCTCATTGACCAACTTTTCTTTTCTTTCCAATCAGACGACATATCATTTCAAGTAAGAGTTGACAGTTTACTGTCAAAGAAAATTCTTCATTAAGAGAAACTATCGTCGATAAGGAAGGCATTATGCTTTTGCTGCCATTGATAAGATGCTTTGAATTAAATGTCATCTTATATTATACGAGTTTAAGTGAATCTGTGTTTTAAAAAACTAATAAGAGGAGAATCTTTAATTTCATTGTGCGTTTCTACGAGGAACAGTTTATAAAGTTTGGAAGGTTGATTGAAATACTTTCATCCGATTTCGGTATTAAGTTAATTTCAAATGAACTTTTGTGATGGGCGAAGCTTCACGCGTGTATTACGATTCTTGGTTTGAAAAGAAACCTGAGATTGGAACCTGTTACGATCTATATGAATCGGTTAAACCTTAAGTGTGTATGTGCGTTTATGATAGCCGACTCAAAATCAGAAGCAACGCGTGTCAATATTTCTCTTCATTTGGCGCCGTTATCGTGGTATTAAGCAGACCGCTTTGAATAAATTGGCGAGAATACTTTTCTGCTTGTGCCTGCTCTTCTTACAGCGAATCATCAATCATTTTCATTACTGGTTGTTAGGCTAGTATTGCTCAACAAACCGACGGGGGTCTCTCTTCTTCTCTTTCTTCGATGATATAAGATCCAATAACATTTGTATTAATCAACTCAACAGTCAATGATTCAGATTACGTATTTTTCTACTACAGGTGGAATGTACCTTAATTCGATCTCCGTTAATGAAACACTGCTATACATCTTCATAAATGCAGGAAATGAGATTAGTGGCTAGGCTTCCAAGCACTGCTTTTCTTTTCTCTAGTTGCCTTTGTTGTCAATTCAAGTCTATTTATTTCAGGCTCCAATAAAAGTAATTCAATATCCTACTCTTGAAGTCTTCTTATCAATGAAATGAAGAATATGTCTCTCTATTAACTTAGAGGTTGCAAACGAAAGGCAATTTTACCAGTCTTGGCTCTACGCATGCTCACAGTTTAGAATTGTTAACGCTTCTTCACATTAAGTTCGGCGAAACCAGTGCAACATTTCGTCTAACAAATCCCAACATTAGAGCAATGTTTTTTGGTCTATTTGATATTTCGGATATTTGTGAAAAAGAGAGAGAAAACACAGCTAAAAGTTGTCGTCACCTTTCGCTTCTCCGCGTAATTGTAGATAGCGTACCAACACATGATAGGCTCTTCCAATACGTACGTTCCTTTGATATGGGGATCAAAGTTCGCCAGTTTTCACAGTTGGACCATTCTTTCACCTTGTCCCTCCATCTTCTTTTGGTGCACTAACATTGCGTTTTTCCTTGACCAAACCTTCGATACAGACTTTTGAGAGTTCTTTTCTTAATCTTTTTATATGACCATAGAATTTTAGCGTTTTAGAACTGATGTGAGCCTCAATGGGGACAAGATTTGTGATGGAGACACTAAAGGGGTCTTTTTTTAACATGATTAAAGAACAGGGCATTCTTTCATTTTTTTTATTCGTCTGGCGGAGGCTGGCACGTTTCCTTACTGCGCTTGCG